TGTGCACCAGACGCGAGCACTCGCCGGCCTCGTCCGGCGGGTACAAGAGGCCGCCGACGGGACTCGAGTCGAGCTCGCCCGGCCGAGCCTCAGCGCCGCGGCCGCGGCCCGTCTGCCCGGCGGCCTCGGGCGCGGCTCTGTCGTCGCCGTCGTCGTCGCCGTCGCCGTCGTCGTCGTCGGCCTCGAGCCTGGGACACAGAGAGTCCCGATCTATCGGCCCGCGAACCCGCAACTCGCCGGTGTGCGGATTCAACGCCAACGCCCGCGACACTTCGTCCGAGCCGATCAGATGAAACGTCGCCTCGGGCCCGGCCTCGGCGACGACGCCGGCCGCGTCGGACGGCCGGCGGACGGACGAGCCCTCGTCCGAGTCGCGCAACAGCTGACGCGCCTCGGTCAGGTACTCGGCGACCCCGGGCACCAGCCAACCGAAGGGTCGCTCCTCGACCAGTTCGACCCGGCCGGGCGGGATCGGCGCCGTGTACGCCGACTGGGTCAGGCCGGCCCGAGAGGATTGGGCCCGAGTGTCGGCCGGCGCCTGCAGCAGCAGCAGCAGCATCGGCAGCATCAGCAGCAGCACCGTCAGCTGCGGCAGGCTCACTTCACCCTCCGGCGTCGCAGAGTCCCGCCGGGCCGGAGATGCCCCGTTTAGACTCATCCTAGACGAGCTATTTCCTCATTCCAACTCGATAATCCGTCCGGAGCGAAGGCAGACGAACGGGCGGATTAGACGCCAACAACAGCACAGTTGTGCAGTGAGCAAGGCTTGAGGAGGCAGAGGGCCCGATAAAAATCACATTATGTCAAGGTTGGCCGGCCAAAGTTGTGGCCGGTCGCCGTAGCTTTCACACTTTCTGCGGCTGTTGGCACCGAAACCGGGTGAACATACAACCTGTCTCCGAGGCCCACAGGGAGGGCGTATGTCTTTGTCTGCCTGTGCGCTTGTGTGTGTGCACACAACCGTCTGCAGGCCTGTGACTGTCTGTGCGTTTCGGCCTATGAGCCAGATACTGTTTGGCGGTCTGGCTTGTCTGGAGTGTCCGGTTGCCAGGGCGTATGTGTGTCTGGGCGAGTGTGTTGTATGCCCTGGCCGGCGGACCCGCATTCGACACGAGGGTTCCCATTGGTAGGCCGGACGGAAGCAGCCAATCAGCTCGAAGCTGCTGGCTTGGCCAACGGTAGGCAAGACAAGTAATGCTGGCTACCTCAGACCCACTTGCATCATATGGTTCGCAGGACCTGCTTATTCACAAAGGCGGTAAAAGGTCTTAAATATAACAAGTTTGATCACATGGCAGATGAAGGGATGGGTGGCTGAGTTGATGAATGAGTGAATGTGTGTATGAATGAGTGTAGAGGCATGGATGAAGGATGGAAGAATCGAGGGACGAATGACTAGATGTACACCAAGGAAGTGTGGTGGATAAATCTGTCGATAGATGGATGGATGGATGGGTGAATAGAGAAGTAGGTGGAGTGACGGATGGATTGCTAGATGGATTGATGTGCGGTTGTTTGGATATATGAGTAATTGCATGAGGTGACGGAGGGAGAGTGGTTAAATTGATGGTTAGAGGACTAGACAAATGGACGGATGGACAGATGAATGCTGGATGGCAGTAGGGATGGATAGATGTTTTAGCAGAGGTATATATGTATGGGAGAATAGATTAAGGAATGTATGTATTTTTGCATAGCGGGCTGTGTGGATGTATGTATTTATGGACGGATGGATAGATGGATGCAGATTTGGAGGGATGGAAAGAAGGAGCGGTGTATGGACAAACGCCTCAAGTTGCAATGATGATTTAAATCACATGTGGAACTTGCTCGTGCCACATTGTAGGTGTCACAACAAAAGACTGATAATATGATATGTATTCACGCGATTTCGTTTAAGGTGATGAAGGAATGGTAGTAGAATTTTCCCACAATTATATGAGTAGAGCTGACGTTCCCCTTGAATTTCGCAAAGCGCTGCTTTTCCAAAAGTTTTTCTCATCCAGGATGGAGTCGAACCGTGACAGTGAAGCATCTGTGTCTGACACGTTAACCACTCGACCACATTGCCACGAGTGCCCCAGGGTCACAGGGCAGATGTCAATTGCAAGGAAGGTCAGGCCTTTTGTCATATCCCTTACTTTGGTGGGGTTGTCGATGAAGCAAACAATCGACTACGTAACTTATCTTTCGTATGTAAGTAGAATGCCGAGACTACCAGTAAATCAGTAATATGGGATGTATTCAGCTTACTTCGTTTAAGGTGATGAATGACTGGTAATAGAATTTTCACACAATAGCAAAAAGGCTTGGCCTTCTTTGAAATTCACATCTGCACTCGTGGCAATGTGGTCGAGTGGTTAACGTGTCAAGCTGACATGCTGCACTGTCACGGTTCGACTCCATGCGAGGTCGAAACTGATGGTCTCGAAACTCTACTTACATACAACAGACTGATAGACTTGGACTCACGATAAATGTGCTGAGGCCGCATGTCTAGTCTGCACACAACAAGGCGTATAAACCGATAAAACAACGCGTCTTGGTCTCACCGGAAGCCTTGGAGTCATCATTTGTGTGAACGGGTACCTTAGCGCATTGTCCAACGACCCCGATAAATCCATGTTGAGCCTTCTTCTACACCATGTCAGGAATGATCATGTATGAAAAAGCGCTTAAATGCACTAGACCAACTTTCGTCTGGCCTACAGGGAAAGCAAGAAAACTATCTTCTAGTAGATACGAAGAGAAACTGGGTTTCAATGAATCTCCTGAGATAACATTGTTAGGAGCACCTTCATTTCGTATGAAAGTGCATGAAGAAGAGATTCGTCAGCATGAATATTGTACAAAATCCAACCGGCTGCAGTACAACGAGTTTCATCCATCCTCATCTGGTGAGATCAACCAACGAATCTCTTCTTAATGCACTTTCATACGAAATGAAGGTCCCCCTAACACTATCTTCTAGTAGGCTGATACTATTAAGTGTATCCAGCCTATTTCGATTAAGGTGATAAGGTTGCATTTCCCCACAATCATTTGAGTAAGCCATTGAATTTCAAATAGCCTTGCTTTCCCAAAAGCTATTTTCATCAGGAAAAAAAGTAATGTAGATACGAAGAGTAACTGGGCCTCAATGAATCTCCTGAGACAACATTGCTGGGGAGACTTGCATTACGCCTGAAAGTGCACGAAGAAGAGATTCTAAGTTCGACCTCCCCAAAAGAGAACGACCATTTGGCTTATTTACCTCGTCTTAACGTGAAACTTGACAAGAATGAATTCCAGCTCTGATGATGTTTATCGCATGATGGAAGAAAGCTCAGCCCGCTTTCACCTGAAATGAGGAAGGAGGTCTCGCGCACTGCGTCAGCCTGAATGTGGTAGTAAAGTCAAACGGCTGCAGTATAGCAGGAATCAGCCGTCTTCCTCTGGTCAGATCAACCTACGAATCTTTTCTTCATGCACATTTATACGAAATAAAAATAACTCAGTTAGTAGATTGCTATAGCAAATACAACTTCGCTTCATCGACAGTCTCACCATAAAATGTGATATAAGAAAATGCCCCGCCTTCCTCGAAATTCATATCTGCCCTGTGAACCAAGGTCAATCGCGGTAGTATGGCGAAGTGGTTAAACTGCGCCATCATGGTTCGAGTCTCACTGGGTCGCTGATGAAACCAGTTCAGGCGAGGTCGAAACTGCAGTCCAGTTCAGTCTGGATGTGCATAACTTTTTGCACAGCAAGGATATGTGAAATTCCAAGGAAGCGTAAAGTTTACTCATATCATAGGGTCCTTTTATCACCTTAAACGAACTAGGGTGAATACACACATAGATGATTTATTGGCAGTCTAGAAAGCCCACTTATAAACTAAAACTAATGCCATCACATTTTTTGAAATTCATATATTGCACAATGTATTATCGGGGCGCCCAGAATTATCTATTTCCTCTTATTGGGAACTAGCTCAAGTATCGAGTGGTTCGGTTAAGACTAGTTCATGCACATAATCGCATACTTTCACAATGGAATATGACCTAAATTAACAAAATCGCTCAATATTTTAAAAATTGTAATATCAGAGTATCCATAGAGGACTGGAGAAACTGATAAGTTTTCCTGGGTAATGGGATCGAACCACGAATCACTTCATCACACAGGTTATCTCAAAATGGAAGCGAGTTTGAAAAATAGAAATTAACAGATCCCTTGAAAACAAACTTTACTTCTTATCTACTCGATTACGACAGTAAAGGGACCTGGTGGAAGAGTAAAGTGGGGCTTAAACGGAAAGATGAATGTCTAGTTTCATCATCGAAATTGAGAAGAAAATGAAATCAATTCAATGGAAAATAACTGCAGTCTAGGGCACACTGAAGTTTCCAAAATAACGGGGATAATCCGATCGTGGTTTAGGTGACCATTGCTACCTCTAGATAGAATTCAGAGAAACTGAGAAAGAGAAAATTTTTGTAACTTTATGCTCTATTTCTAAGGTAGAAAGTTGATATCTCCTGTTCACATTTTCTTTCTCGTAAGTGACGATTCTATTAGGAAACAAACAAGCTTCCTCAACCCATTTGAGGAGACATGGTGTGGTTATTTGGCAATTTGCCGTTTTATAAAAGTTTAATGGGAGAAGCTGAACTGCACACCACTTTTCGCCCATTTTAATACAAAGTAGTGATGAACCTTTAGAAGCTGACTAGGATAAAAGAGTCGGAAAAAGCTTTAGTACTGATCGTTATACCATGTAGACTTGATTTCGTATTAGTGACTAGAAATCCTAAAGTTGCGATGACCGAGGTCCTGTGATGCTGTCTGTGATGAGTCCCTCGTATTGATCGGTATTAATCCAAAAAAAAGTAGAAATTAGTAAATTTACTATGTTTGTCATAATGTGCAGCTTATTTTATTCCTGCTTTTTTATTACTGTTGCATTG